AAGATACAGCATATACACTAAGGCAACATCAGAATCCTTGAGGGCATGTTCAGAGCACCCAGCACACAGCAGACAGCATATATTTGTTGTTTGGAATGTAGAAAATTACAACTACAGAAGTCAAGAACGACTCCCAGGTTCTTGACATATGTGACTAAGTAAACTGAGGCACCAGTCATCAGAACAGAGGAAAAGCATACTTGAGAAGAAAAGTTTGAATATGATTTTGAACACGCTGCATTTGAAGCACATTCAACTCCAGTAAAGAGTTAGAATGTCATGTGTTTCTGTAAGTATTCCTCACAGCAACTCCATGTGGCAGATATTTTTATTCCTATTTACCAAAGTGGAAAGTGAACTCTGTACTTGCCCACGTCCATATTTTGCCCATTTACTAACAGTAAATGCTGCAGCTGCAATTTAAACCCAAAGCCCAAGGTCTCCCCATCACACCACACCACAGGAGAACAACGTGACATTAACGTTCACGAGGGTTAAACTAGCTGTGGTTCATGATACTCAACTGGACTAACAAAACAGACGGAAAACATGTTCAAGCCTGTAGAATATGAACCGGCCCAAAGTAGTCTGACTAGGAACACAAATGTGCTATTATAAAAACAAAGACATGACGATTTAGCAGAGACAGGATAATGACTCAAAGATGCCTCTTGGGTTTCAAATCAAGACAACTAGAACACTATAAAATTACCATATAATGAAGGAAGAATCAGACTGGAAAGGTAAATTCAGTTTTCTGATAGATTGATTTTTAGGTGATAACAGAACACCAAATAGAAATACAAGACTGGAGATCTAGAAAAATATCAATAATTCATTATTTGATAAATACTTATTGAGAGCTTCCTCTGTACCCTGCATTGTTCCTAAGGTACTAGAGATAGAAATGAAAAGTTCTCATCCTTGTGGAGTTTATATTCCACACAGGAGACAATCAATCAATCAATCAATCAATATCAGGTAGTTGAGCACTATAAAAATAAAATGTAACAAAGAAATAAAGTGACGGGATCAAGATGGATATTTTTTTACAGAAAGTAGGGAAAGCCTTTCTTAGAAACTCATCTGAACAGAGTCTTGAATGATGTGATGGACATCAAGACCTTCAAACACCGGAGGGAAGAAGATCCCAGGCAAAGAAAACAGCACAATATAGATCCAGAGGCAGGAACGAGCTTGGAGCGCTCAGACCCAAGAAGCTTAGAATGAGAGAGAGTGTTTGGAGATCATAATCATATGAGAGACATAGGATGGGGCCGGCTGTGGACCACAATAAGGCATCTGCATTTCCCTGTAAGTGGGATGGGAAGCTACTGGAGGGTTCTGAGCAGGTAAGTGACATTATCTAAGATTTTTAAAAGATCAGTGACCTTTGTAGATGAGGATTGACTGTAAGGGGCAAGAGTGGCAGCAAAGAAGCCTACTGGAAAAGCTCTTGCCACAGCCTATGAAAGAGAACAATGACTGCAGTAAGACAACAGCGGTCAGGGAAGGAGAAGCATGAGATCCTAGATATATTTCTGAAGTAGAGCCAGAAGATCTTGCCGATAGAATGAATGCGGAGTGTGAAGTAAAAAGAAGAATCAATGATGACTCCTAGACACTAAAGATGAGTAACAGAAAATATTAATGGTGACACCTACTGAAATAGGCAAGGACGAAGAAATGAGCAGGTCTGGGAAAAGAAACTAAGCACTATTATTATCTCTATATCCCATATTAAAGATAAGGAAACTGAGGCACAGAGTATCTAAGCAACTAGCCCAAAGTCACACTGCTGGTAAGCAGCACACCTGGGGATTGAATTCAAGCAGTGCAACTCCAGAGTCTGAATCTTCAACACTGAGCTAAATTGCCTCCTAAGACTCCAAGGGGAAAAAATGTTGAAGAAGTTCTAGAACTGAGCCTGGGGCTCAATTCAACATTTGGAAGTCACAAAAAGGAGAAGCCAAAAGGACAAAACAAGAGCCAAGCAGAAAATGAGAAAAAGTCTGTTGTCCTGGAAACCAAGTGAATAAAGTATATCAAAGAGGAATGCTAAGAGATCAACAAAGAAATGGACTCAGAATTGACCGCTGGATTTGGCAAGATGAAAGTCACTAGGGACTTGGAAATAAAAGCTTGACGGAATGAGTTATCTTTAGAATTCAAGAGTTGAACTTAGCAAGAAATCTAACATCCAAAATGAAATTCATCTGTTCAAGAAATGTTTACTGAATGTTTATTAGTGCCAGACACTGGTCTACAGGCTGGGGATAGAGTAGTGAACAAAGCAACCAAAGTCCCTATCCTCACGGAGCTCACATTCTCATAACACGTTTAGGTGTTTCTTCAAGGGAAAAGCTATCACCAGTATTTTGCCTCTTTATATGAAACGTTATATTGCATAAATCAGTAAATTTCTGATGTGCCCTTTCAGTTTATGAATAAGGCTGAAGACAATTTTGAGAAGTACAAATGTATACTGATGTTAAGTGATAATTAAATCAAGTGAGTCAGCAGGCCCACTTTAACATCACTGTCATACTCACTGATGGACAGTAAGAAGGGATATTGTTAAATGTATTCTAAATACCATACTCCATATGCTGTACTAGTAAAAAGTTAGACATGGGAGTCTACTGGACTCTGTCCAAGGATTATTTACTCTGACGGGTCTTCTTAGATAAAACTTTCATATTTTGATACATAAATCATGAGGAGAGAATTGATCCAAATACCAAAATCTGACTAAATTTAAAAAGTAAGCTTTTCTGGAGCAAAATAACATCCTTACACTCAAGAAGCTTACTGTCTAGCAGGCTCACCTGACACAGTCTCAATTCAACAAACATTTATTAAACACCTTCTATTTGGCAACCAATAAAACAATTAAAGAGCATAATACAGGATATAACTATCTTTAATGCTACATAATTTGGTAAAGACAAAAAGTGTTGCAGGAGTTTTGAAAAGGATAGGGGTTATGGTGGGCTGGAGCAGTGGTTCTCAACCAGGAGCTCTTTTGTGCCTCCAGGGAATACTTAGCAACATCTGGAAACTTTAAATCTTGATTGCGGGTTGAGAGGGGGTGCCACCCACATCTAGTGGGTAGAGGTCAGGGATACTGCTAAACACCCTACACTGCATAAGACAGGCCCCCACTACAAAGACATTTATCTGGTCCAAACCGTCACTAGCATGGCTACTGAGAAACCCTAGGCTAGAGTAATCAGGAAATGATTCAGGTACCAACGAGTTGGATACTGAGTTGGCCTTTACTCATGATGACATGTAGAAAGGTAGAAGAAATAAGAGAAGCAAAAGTATAAAGGTAAAAAGGAGCTTGTGTTTGAACTGCGTGGTATAGGTACTGGGAAAGGGCTGGACCTTAAGAAATTTATCTAAATCCAATGAAAATGCGTGTTCAAAAAGTCAGTAGGATATAAAGGTGATTGGGGAGTTGGAAGCTAGATTACATACGACCACAAAAACTAGACAAAGTTGCTGGAAACAGAAGCAGCAGGTATTAAACTATTTTATTTTAAGCATTTGCCCTATAAATTAATGTAATAAGTTATACAACTGCCTGAGAGCAGTAGCCTTGTCTTATTCATCACTCTATCTCATGTCTCTGAGCAGTGTCTTGTAAATAGTCTGTGCTAAGTGTGTATTAAATTAAATACAATTTTCCAATTAATTATTTACTGAGTACTATAGGTAATCTCTCAAGTTCCATCCACTGCTAAGATTCAGGATATTCACTTAAACTGGAACCAAAAAAAACTATCATTTAGTACGTGCCTACTATAAAAATATGTTGTAGTAGGCCCATTACACATATTACCTCACTGAATCACAAACAGACTGTGCTTTTCCCCTCTTTAAAAATGAGAATATTGGGACTCAAAGAGCTTAAGAACTTGCTCATGATTTCACTCTGAGTCAGGCAGTTGCAGAGATAGGACTGGACTTTTCTAGTCGTAAGCCAAACCTCTAAGCTTCAGTGACGTGCTGTAAGGAAGACTTAAAAAACCAAATTCAACACCCACCTTTCATAATTAAAACACACAAAGATCTATAAGGCAACTCCACTAAGTTGTCCTTATATTTCTTTACTATAGCAATTAGACACGGCATTTGCCTTGCTTTCATTCCACATTTGTGTGCCAAGGTAGTTCCTAAGTACATTCAAATCATCCCCAAATTCTCTTCCCGGAAACTCAAACTCCCGTAATCATCACCCTCACACCAGAAAAATATAAACAAAAAGCTAACCTGTTGAATTGGTATGATCAGTAACTAAAACCAATGATTCAGAACACCAAAAAAACAGCATTTCAGATTCAAACCAAATCAGCATTTTCGGATTCAAAGTCCTCGTCCACACTTTTTAATACAGAGACCCAGCCTAACGAAGGCGGCCCAATGGCTCAGGTCCTTAATTCGTTTCAGCTGTTGCCAAATAGTCCCTTTTCACCTCTCCTACCATTTCTGAGTCTACCCTTAACCAACCAGAAGCTCTCTCGTCCCGCTACAGTTACGAAAAGGATTTCAAAATTCTTTTAAGAAACCTAAGCTGCAACATCCTCCTAGTTGTAGACGTTTAACGTTTGTCCAGGGATACACTTTATTACTGGGTTTATAATCCTACGCCAGCCGAGTTACTCCTCAGCCCTCAGCTCTGTTCTTCCAGAAGCACTGGTCCTAGCACCAGATGTCACACCAGCTGGTCCTCCGAGGCTCTCTACATCAACCCTTCAAGCAGCTCTTCCGAAACCCACAGTCCTAGCTCAAGGCCCATTTCGCAGGCTCTCGGAGTCCCATTTCTTTCAAAGAGGATGCGCCAAGCTCCCAACCTCCTCCAGACTCTTTAGGAAGGAGCCTCGGGAAAGGGGAAGAGCTTGACCGCGGCCGGGGGTCCAGAACGCTCGCAGAGAGCGGGCAGAACGGGCTTGCAGTCCAGGGCCGGGGGGACAGCGAGCGGCAAAAGCACTTACCCACATCCTGATCGAAGGGATTGGTGCCAAAGAGCGGCATCTCCACTGCGCGCCCAGGTGTCCCCAGGGACTCCCCCTCGACACCACGGGAGTCAGGGTGCGACGCAGGAAGGAAGATTCCTCAGACAAAAACAGCAACAGAGACGGACTCTACAGGGCCGGCGACAGCGCCTCCTCCCCCGGACCCCCAGCGACCGCGGCAGCGGCGGCAGCAGCGAGGGAGCCGAGCGAGGCCCCGCGTGGAGCCTGTCGGGAATCTAGGCGGCCTCGGCACTGCCTTCCCGGAACCCGCCCAGAACCTTCCCCGCCAAAACAGGCCCAACCAAAGCGCCCCCTCTGCCTGGCTCCTCTTTTGATTAGTCATACAGGAGAGTGGGAGGAACGGCTGCGTTTCCTGCTTTTGCCTTGGCCAGGACTCTCCGGAGGACGGGGTCCTCCAGGCGCGCCGAAGGCGACTAGCGACCCCAGGAATGAATCAGACCGTGGAGAACGAAGAAGGGTCGCGTTTGAGTTGAGCGAGAAGCCCCTGGTCCCCTCGCTCCGTCAGCTGTCATAACTGTCGTCCCTTTGGAGGGGGATGGAAACTCCTTCCCTGGGGGTCATCGAAGTAAAAAGTCATACGCTCAGTTCGTTGTCCGAGGTGACAGGACACTTGCTGGAATGGTCATGTGAGCTGGCCGTCTTGGCTCGGATCCCTCCAGAGGGGAGTGGCCGGCGCGCGGCTCCCTCGGAGAGGCTGGAGCACCGCTGGCACCTGCCCGAGCCCCCGCGCGCCCGGCTTCAGAATCCCTGCCGAAGGCGCTTCTAGCTGGCCGGGGGTTCGTCCTGACTAAGTGTGTAGTCACTATGCCGTGCTGATCAGAAAATAAGTTTCAGAACCCGAGAATGTCCACGATAGCCCCCGAAACCGAGCAAAAAAAGAAAACTGAAAAATGGAGCTAGACATTGATGAGTGATCCCCAGCAACTTAAAATGATTATCTAGTAATTTTATTTATAAGCTTATTTAACAAATGAAAAATATTCTCTATATCACGTAGAAATCTTAAAGAGCATCTACTAGAGATTTTGCGTCCCACTGGGAACAAATTTAGTAAGAGTATCTTGCACGTAAATTGAAATTAAGTAAGTTATACCCAAATTAGAGCACTTCCAAATGTAGCAGGTAAACTAATATTTACATGTCAACAGCAGGATTAGTATCCTGGTATACAAAGGGTGCTTACAAAAATCCGTTAAGAAGGAGATCGCATTTCTAAAAGTGAAAAATGCAAACTTAAGGAGCATTTGGGTACATTTTTGCCATTCAGACAAGGATGAGAAAGAAGAAGGGACATGGGGAGTTGTATATTCGCATCTTGAACGAAGCATAAATTATTATACTCTTCCTAAAGGTAATATTTGCAAGTATGTAACAAAAGCTTTTAAAAATGTAAACACCTTTGGACCTAGCCGTTCTACTTTTTGGAATTTATCCTAAGGACGTTCTTTAAGAACATGAACAAAGATGTTCATGGCAACATTGTTTATAATATCAAAGCACTGTTAATTACTAAAAAGTCCAACATTAACACTGGAAAAATTTCTTCATCTCTTGGTGCCTCAGTTTTTTCATCTGTAAGAAACAGAAATAATAATAGGGTTGTGAGGATCGAAGGGATTAATACAAGCGAAGCCCTTAGAACAGTGCCTAGCATACAGTCAGCACTAAATAAGTGTAAGCAATCATTATAATTAGTATTGGTCAAGTAAATTATAGTACACATGATATAAAAACTCCACAGCTATTAATAGTGGATAATATAGATCTATACTTACATAGAAAGACTTCTAAATACATGTTTTAAAAAGCAGGTTACAAAATCATGTAAAATTACAAAATACCCCAAATTTTAAAAGCCTGAAAGGAAAAACATGAGTATATTATGACATGATTATCTCCCAGTGGTAATATTTGGGATGATTTTTTTGTTTGTTTTTTATGCATTTTATGTTTTCCAAATATTTTAATGATGAGCCTATATTTCTTTCAAAAGCAGAAAAAATTTAAAACACAACAATGTAAAAATGTGGTATGTTAGTACCACTTTTTCTTAACATTTTGAGGAGCCAATACCAAGAGCTTGTTTGTGTTTCGTTATGACAAGCATAAAATTCCTCCAAAACATCATTCATATGTGAAGCAGAGCATTCTCTCTCAAAAACCGGTTCTTGCTTACTAGGCTGACAGAATCAAGTGACAACTCGTCCAACTCAAGTTCCTGAGCAGTGTCTGGTGCACATTACCATAATCACCCTATATCAGAGCCAAATATTTATGAAAATGCATTTGGATGTGCTTTGTGCTTCAGCAATGAGACTGAAGTATTCTGTTGCCAACAATAAACTAATGATCAAATTGTTCAAGCCTTGATTATCCGTACGTGAGCACTGGGAATGATGAATGAATAACACCTAATGGTCTTGATAGCATTATCCATGTGTTCTGATCTAGAAGAATGACTTTAGCTATTTGGGGCTTTATCATTAATATGCTATAAATAATAAACATTTTAAAGTGTAAAACTTTTAATATTATTATGTTTAACATAAAAGGCAAATATAAAAAGTGAAATGGGTTTGTATTTTGAAATGAACTTTCTTTTATTATCCCTTAAACCACTGAAACTGGAGGAGTTTCATTTTTAGTAATCCCATAGTTTTTAAAACATTATAGAGACTATATATGAATTTCACATTAAAATGTTTCTGTAATGTTATGTGTTTCCTAAATTCTATGGTTAATTTTAAAGTGTTAAATCCCTTTTTTTGTTTAATTTTGAAAATTCTTCTTCATTAAAAAAAAAAAAAAACAGAAAGTAACATGCAAATGGAGTTACTCCAGGAAAAATCTATAATTTTAAGGTTTAGGAAAAGGAATATCCTAGGAAGGTTATTGGCACCACTTTAGTTCACACCCTTATCATCTCTTAGACAAATTATTACATTCACCCCCTACTCTGTTTTTCTCCTTCCCTACTGCTGTGGACTGAATTATGTCCCCCCAAAATTCATGTTGAAGCCCTAACCCCCAGTGTGATGGTTTATGGAGATGGAGACTTTGGTAGATAACTAGGTAATTAGGTTTAGATGAGGTCATGAGAATGGGGCCCTTGTGATGGGATTAGTGCCCTTATAAGAGCAGACACCAGAGAACTTGCTCTCTTTCTCTTCTCTCTGCCCTGTGAGGACACAGTGAGAAGGCAGCTATGTCCGCAAGCCAGGAATAGAGCTCTCACCAGAACCTGATCATGCTGGCACCCTGATCTGGGACTTTCAGCCTCCAGAACTATAAAAAAATAAATTTCTGTTGTTTAAGCCACTCAATCTATGATAGTTTGTTATGGGAGCCCAAGCTGACTAATACACTTACCTATCTCCAAACCGTTCTCCACCCCCCTGCTGGAATGATTTTTCTAACACAAAAATCTGATTATGTCATTCCTTTAAAATTCTCATATGGTTCTTCAGTCACTCAGTCATTTGGTACATATTTATTAACTCATGTGTGCTAGGTACCATTCTGTATGCTGGAAATATAGCGATAAAAGCTCTATGTGAGATAACCTTTTTTGGAGTATAGCTTATGGGGAACACAATCATTAAATAAAAAATTAACCGTATGATTACAATGTGCAGAGTAGTCTCCTGCCTTCAGGATTAAATCCTAATTCTTTAGTATTGCATCCTTACCCAACTGGCCTCTGAGTACCTCATCTCTTCACATTCTTTTTTCATAACCTCTATTTTAGTCTTTTTGATGTCCCCATACTTTCCATGTCTTCAAATAAGCAACTCTTTCTGTCTTTGCTGCTTTGATTCTATTTGGATCCTATACCTTCTCTAAACCACCACTCAGATTCCACTTCCCCAAAGCCTCTCCTGACTCAGTACCTGACCAGTGACAGGCATGTAATAAATATTGTTAATTAGTTGATTATTGGCCACCTCTATCGCAGCACTTAATGGTCTTATATTTGTTCCCCGTGTCTTTTACTACATAAAAACCACCCCAAACCTAGTGTCTTAGGGCAACAATAATCTGATTTTGCTTACAAATCAGAAATTTGGTCAGAGCTCCACAGGCACAGCTTCCTGTCTTCCACGCAGTGTCAGCAGCGGTGGCTCAAAGGCTGGGATGACTACACCTGGGGCTGCAATCATCTGAAAGCTTGTGCCCTTCATATCTGGCAATTGATGCTGGCAGTTGGCTGGGTCATTGGGGCTGTCAGCCAGAACTACATGGGAACTACTATGTGTCTGCTTGGTTCCTCCCAGCATATTGACTGAGCATTCCAAGAGATAGGAGAAGGAAACTGCCAGTTTCTTAAGACCTGAGCTGGGAAATGGGCACAGCATCATTTCAGTCATATTCTATTGGACGAGCAGTTGCAGCATCTACACTCAAGGGAAGAGGAAATAAAACCCACCTCTTGATGAAAGGAGTATTTTGGGGACCATCTTTGAAAGCTACCACAATATTATAACTTTCTACTGGTTTGTATAGCATTAGTCTGGGACTCATTTGTCTCTATTTCCAGGCTTTTCAGAGTAGATGTTCTAAAAACGCTTGTTTAATGTAGTAAAGAAATAAAATACATTATGATTTAAATGGCATACTTCCATTACCAGCTATGAGGGAGCAACAGGATCCAGACTTATCTTTTCACCATAACCAAATAGAACACTGGACAAAATAAAATATATGAGTCAATTTATTCCAAACATGAGACAACAGACTGGTTTATACTGTGATCCCAAGGAGAAAGGAAACATGCAATGAGCTCTGTGATTGCCACAGCTTTCTCTTTGGAGTCAGTTTCTGGACTGTGGCCCCAGGAGGGAGAACCCCTAAAACCCAAAAGGTCTTATTGTATTGAAGAGATAAAAACCAGAGTTTGTGGAGGCCAAGGAGCTAGAAATTGGAGGACAGAATTCGAGGAGGGTGCTATGCAAAGAAAGAGCTCCAGAATCTACATAGGAATCCCCTTGAGACTTGGGCTCAACGCTAATCTTGTTGTGGGTAGTGTAAAGCTCTACAAGTCTGGGTAAAGAACTTTTAGGGCAAGAGCACTACCAAGGAACCAAAATCTGAAAAATCCCAAGCATTCATACAAGTCTAGGAATCAGTTGAGTTCTCAAAGCCAGAGGGAAGAAACCTAATTGAACACACTGGGTGTTTAGTAAATACCCCAGAAGGGTAA